CAGTCATGGCCCAGTTCTGTTCCTTGGACATGCCAAAAACCCATGATCTTGGGTTCTAATCCTAGTTCGCACCGATTATGTTTCTTGGTTTGACAGCGCCATACCCGTGCTCATGGGTTTCATAAAAGTTGTGAACGTCTAAGGCTTAATCACTTCAGGCTTTCCTCACACACATTAAGCTGACATGCCGTGATATAACTGAATTACTGTTAAAAGTGGCATTAAACCCAACTCACTCACACATGATGTCAATCACTGGATTGTCTGGGGAGATCATATAGCTGGAATATTGTGGAGTGTGGAGTTCAACAGCAAACAAACGAAGTTAACTATGTTCCTGTAATTGACAACAAAAAGCAACAACAGTGAACTGGATGTGGACTCAGCTTTCTCCACTGCACATGTACTTACACATTCTCTTTCATCCGTTAACCTGTAAGCATTCAGTGATACAAGTTTTTGTAAGTCCAGGCCATTGCCTTGGGTTAGGAAGGAAATAGATGTTGAGATGTTTGTTTAACTCTCTGCATGCTGCAGTCACATTTACTTGCCTGAACACCACCTTCATCCCAGCTCAATCTGTCTGTCTGTCTGTCTGTCTAACTGTTTGTCTCTCTGTCTGTCTGTCTGTCTCACACACACACACACACACATACACACACACATACACACACATACACACGCATAGACAGACGGACGCACACAGAGACACAGACACACACACACAGACACACACACACAGACACACACACACACACACACACACAGAGACACACACAGAGACACACACAGAGACACACACACATACACACACACACAGACACACACACAGTCAGATACACACACACACACACACACACACACACACACACACAGACAGACAGACACACACACACTCACACACACACACACAGGCAGACACAGATTCGCTGTGGCTTCTGGAACATTTAGTAAAGATGATTATAACAACAAACATAATTATTCTGTATGTGTACAGTTAAAATAATTCTATCTAGACCTGCAATTAATCAACTTGAGACTAAATATGAGTCTTGATCCATTAAGTTTTTAAATTCAGTTTATACTATCATTGTCCATATTAACCATGGTAATCTTAAGAAATGTAACTATTTCTGACGCTGTGAATTAATAACACAGTGTGCGACTTCAGCCACTGGTCTGAAGTAAAATTCTGTTCAGTCTTGTAAGCTCAGCTAATAAAAGACTATATAAGAACACCAAAATGTATGAGACCCCTGATGCTAAAAGCTAATTTCAGGCTAGTAGACTCGAAAGTATTATGAAAAGACTGTAAATTTAGTATTGATATTCCTAAATTTGTATCGACATAATGAGTGGGACACCCATGTTAAAGTGTGGCATGGTGTCTCATTGGCCACGATCAGTGCACACACTAAACCGCACATTGCTATAATCTGGAATGGTTCAACGTATTTCACCACACCCTAGCCACCTTGAATATTACTTCTTTGAGTGGCATATAGAAATTTAGTCAAATCCAAGTTCCATTTGTGAATATTCAAGGTAACTAAGACAAAATTGTTATGGATGAGCAACTTCTTTATTACAATTGGGCGACGTTTCGGTGTAGATTCTAACACCGTTATCAAGCAAATGATGAGATAATAGTTCAGTGTTGTTTTGGCGAGCTGATGAGATCATGGTAAGCTGGAGGGATGTAGTATCCTTGATCTCTGTTTATGGCTGGCTGAATTCTTTTCATCATTTGCTTGATAACGGTGTTAGAATCTACGCCGAAACGTCGCCCAATTGTAAGAAAACAAGTTGTTTTCATTTTCTTTTCCACCTTTCAGCACTGAGTCTAGATTAGGCCTATCGCTGGCCCTGTTGAACACAAGGTTAAGCCATGCATATCAACTCTGTCACAACATTGTGTACGAGAAGTGTTAAGATTGTTCTATCCTTGCATAAAAAGGTGTTGCCTTGAAAAGTCTTTACAAAAGTCCTTAAAAGTCTTGGGCCTTGCCGTCTGCATATGAACCCGGCTTTACGACACTGCATGCAGTCACTTCACACAGGATTCACCCAGTACTTGCCTTAGTTACTTAGTTGACTGACTTCTGCCCTTACTGACATTACACAGTACTGAGTGTGTAGTTACTTAGTATTGACGGGAGCAGGTAGCTGGTGTGGTACATTAACAAATGAAAAGACATAAAAAGAGCTGAGTACAAAGTGTGTTGTAACGTGCTAATATAGCAAGTTGGCTCCACTCTAGCATATGATTCAGTGTTGAATTCACAGTTCAACTGGGCAATATCGAATCTCATAACTTGACACAAACTTACGTTACTTTACAGACCTGACTCCTGTGGAGACCTGGGTTAGTGGAGCGAGCTGACTTTGTTTGTTTGTTTGTTTGTTTGTTGTTGAACATCACATCCAGCAATATTCCAACTATATATGATGGTGGTCTGTAAATTCTCCAGTCCGGATTAGCCATTCCAGTGATTGACATCATGAGCATTGATCCATGTGATTAGGATATGATTACATGCATCAACCAATTCTGACACCCCCACACACCCAACACACTTTTGTACTTTACTTCATTTTACCTTAGCATACTTAACATAAGATTGTACATAGCATGCTATTGTACATCACACAAGATTCTACATTGCATAAGATTGTACATCACATGATATTGCACATCACATAATATTGTACATGACATTAGATTCAACATCACATATACTTCTACATCTCATAAGATTCTACATCTCATAAGATTCTACAACTCATAAGATTCTACATCACACAAGATTGTACAGCACAAACGATTGTACAGCACAAAAGATTGTACTTCACACAAGATTGTACAGCACAAAAGATTGTACAGCACAAAAGATTGTACTTCACATAAGATTGTACAGCACAAAAGATTGTACAGCACACAAGATTGTACAGCACAAACGATTGTACAGCACAAAAGATTGTACTTCACATAAGATTGTACAGCACAAAAGATTGTACTTCACATAAGATTGTACTTCACATAAGATTGTACAGCACACAAGATTGTACATAACACAAGATTGTACTTCACATAAGATTGTACAGCACAAAAGATTGTACATAACACAAGATTGTACATAACACAAGATTCCGTGAAGTACATGATCAGCTGGTTATGGAATGTGACGTGAGGGATTGTGTACAAGATCTTCTGACGTGTGGATGACATCATCGTTCATTATGTGCAACAATATGTGTTAATATGTTGTTGCTTCACAAACAATGGAACAATTAGCATCAACTTGTCAATCATCACAAAACAAAATTCAGACTGCGAAATTACTTACTTACTTACTTACTTACTGAAATGAATTTCCCTGATGCATGTGCACATGTGTATTGCATTGCAATGTCTGTGTAGTATGCAGAAAGTCTTTTGTTTCAATTCTTAGCAATTGTCAGACCTTGAATAAAACTACTTTTTGAATAGTTCCAGGCCATGAGAATATCAGTATCACCTGCATTGTTCAAAACAGTGAGAATCTGCTTTCAAAGACAATTAATGTTTCTTATCTGGCTTCATAAGACTGTTCGGAGGGGATTCTGGGCCTTTCCCTTGTCATAACAAGGATTACAGGATCCTGACTCCGCCATCAATGAGATGCATCTGAAAGCTTGTTGTGGGATGAAGATAAGATGAAAACAGATTGGTGTGTGTTCACAGGAGACAGTCAGGGATATGTATGTCACCGGGCAGAACTGTTGCTTGAAGATTTAATATCAATACTGTTATTTGAAATTACAGGTAATGGAGATCTTCATTGAAATATTAATAGTGTTGTTCAAATTATTAATAATAGAGATCATTTTTGAAGTCTTAATAGAAAAAAATTCTTTTGTCACACTTGTAACAAAGCACAATTTTCTTTGATCTATTTAAATATTCATATGTTTCACAGTGATTGATATATTTCATGACATATGAATACTCATACTACTATATCCAACTGATCTGAAACTTACTGATTATTTATGAATAAATACATATTTCCCAGTGATATAAAATTTATATATGTGGTAGTTAATCAATTGTTATAAGATTTCCAAATTCTGTATTTCCTCTATTAGATGCCCAGGCATCTATTAATGTTGCACAAGAGCTTAACCTGAGGTCTATAAGAAGCTGGTGTTTATTAGTCAATGCTGTCACAGTGGCAGCTCAATACCTTACTGAATCCTAAATTCTACTGTCATACAAGGAGTACATTTGCAGGAAATGGTCATTATGAATCACCAACATACCACACTATAAGCGACCCAGAGTACAGTGTAAACACCCGGCTTCTGTGTTTTGGACAGAGTGTATAATTCAGCGTCAATGAGAGGCCGGTGTGTATTGGAGGTCTGGCATCTCACAGAGGAAATACAGTAACATGGAACTGATCATTTATTTAGGTCTATATATATAATCCTTTTTGACATAGACATGGAACAGATATTATTTAATGAATTATTAATGTGTATAATCCAGGTTATAGATAACAGATAATTGTATTGATTTGTGAATTCTTTTAATCCTGTTTCCCAGAGCCGTCTACATTAAGTGTTACCCCTCGGGACAAGGCTTGGAGCCCAGCGGAACGATTGTCCCTTGTATCGTCATGATGCATTGCAGGGAAACACATCACACGGATCTGCTGTAAACTCATCAGGTCCAAACCTGAATCCCACCAGATCTAACCTGTTACAATGTATGATGAAAGCAATTAACAGTTAGTTTACATTGAAGCACCCAATAAGCTGGGCTGTTTGCCAGTTTGTTTGCCAGTTTGTTTGCCAGTTTGTTTGTAAACACTGCATACCCATAGATTAGGTCGGCACATTCTCAATAGGATTACATGGAAACATGGCGTTAGTCAAGTATTGGATAGCTATAGTCAGCATGCTGTTTGTCCACGATTAGAGGAAGTATTTTCAGGTCCTTGTCCGATATTGTGGCATAGATCTATATAGGTAATCCTATAGTATATGGTTCCACTCTGCTGAGTCGTCGTATACTTCAGAGATCTGGATCCACTCACACGTTAAAGCTGTTGTAGTATGTACCTGTGTGTAACAGTGTGGGCTGGACAAGGGTGATATGGATACTGGCTGGTGATAAGTGTAGTTGGGGTGGTGTCGTAACTCGGTCAGAGTTGGTGTTACTAGTTATAAGTGCCTTGTACTACGACCTACAACTAGATGACTTGCACTACGGACTGAGCCACTTGAACGACAAACAACTCTGTCTTAACTGCAGCTCACAGCAAGTGTGATTATCGAGTGCATGAGAAGATTGTGTACAGGTCGCAGGCAGCTAGTCTATGTGTTCAGCATCAACAGGCAGATATACAGCTTATCCACCAGTGGGATATAAAGTGTATACAGCACTGTCGACATGGTGCTGTATCCCACACAAGTCATCAGTGTTTAGATCTGTTGTTTATAGAGCTGCTGTTTTACAAGGCTAGCTGGGGTTAGGATGCACAGAGCTGGAATAACTGTTTGATACCTGTCTGTAATCACCTGTGGCTGGTCAGTGCCGCTGCTACCCCTGATGGATAGTCATTCTGTGTGTTACGGAGCCTGTGTTTACTGTCAGTGTAAATAAGTCTGTTGCCAGCAAAACACGCCTGTCTTCATTATTGGAAAATATAACGGTGATTGGTTCAGGATTTCTGTTGAGGCAGGATTATCAGAGCTGCGAAGGCAATCAGTTAACAGGTTTCCTCAGAGAACATTTGTTCTGAGGACTTTTTTTCCTAGGACTTTTCTTCTGAGGACTTTTCTTCTAAGGACGTTTTGCCAGCTGGGTATGAGGGTATTTGCCCTGACAGTTGGGATCTAACTGGGTGGAGGTCAGGCAGGTACTCCGTGTTTGTTTATATTACTCCCACTGCCACGTAAAGTAACAGTGTAATCTATCCATTGAGGCAGTGGTGTTGGTACGTGTGCGATTACGTATCAGTTCGAAAACATATCATGTACGCCCACCGTCTGACAGTCAAAGGATAAGTGGTCACAGTTGACTTGACAGTTGGGTATTCCACGGCAGGCAGGGGGTGTGTTTATGTCCTTCCAACACCGTTTACTATTCACACAAGGATCAGCTGGAATAAGCCTTCACAGCTAAGATCTTAATATCTGATGTTTGTTTGCAGTCAGTGGGTAGATCGGCTAACTAGTATTGATCAGAGTTGGATCTATGAAGATGGATATTGAGTGTTGCAATTATGGAAATAGTGTGGTTCCGATCAGCGCTTTGAGTGTGACGTAATGGAAATGTGTCGGTCATCGGATCGGGCACTGGCGAATGGCTTCACATTGATCAAGATTAAAAATTGAGGTTCCTTGTGAAAGTAGACTTTGTTGGCTGTGTGAGGGAATCCAGGGATAGACGGTGGGAAGACGGAATCAATAGCAAGTCTTTCAGCCGACACAGTTCCTCTCATGTACTGACAGAAAGGCACTGCTTAGACCGTTACTCGTGGGAGCGATCACAATCGGTGGAAATATCACAACTGTCCACGACAACATTGAATCTGCCATGGCTTACTTTGATGTGCTTAATCCATGCTGATTTACCCTTGAGGAATATTGTATTGACTTTTTGAAAAACAGTGTTGTCATATATACCAGCATGAATTTCCTTGGATTCGAACGTCCCCGTCTGCGACGGAAATCGTATGCAGCTCCAGGGACCTTGTATGATATTCCTGATACTGACAAACCTGTTGATTTTTACCAGGAACAAATGTTGATAAAGTCCCAGAGAGACCAGCGGAGGCGTGGCTCCGTCCCCGCCCGGACTACGGTAGGTGGTGTGTGCACCTGCAGTCGCACCTGCACGTTTTTGTGTATGTATGTCATTGAATGCAAATATAGACTAATGATGTAGTTTTGTTGTGTGTTGGAGATGTCCCAGGTACCAGGTGTGTCCTCCAGTTAGAGTCCCTATCACTGCGGCATGCCATCTCAGATACGTCCTGTAGATATGGGATTGTTGTTGGGACAGAGAGCCCTCATGAAGGAGAGCCAAATGCTTGTGTAGTTAATGAGAATTGGTAGTTGTTTGTTTGTGTTTTTGTCCATGAAGGACCAACAAGTAGTTATCAGTTGTGTTTTTGTCCACAGGGTACCGATGTGTATTGAAAACTGTGTTCTAATCATTTTCAAAGTAGTGTCATTTATGCGGATAGATTTTTGTAGTGAGTGAGTTTACCACTGCTTTGAACAATATTCCAGTCATATCATGGCATTTCAGGCTAACGTGGAGGAAAGCCCAAAGTAGCTAGTGCATGAAACCCACGAGCATGGGTGCAGGAAAAGAATTCTTTGTCAATTATTGTATGTTTATTATACAGCAGCTTGTACAAACCAGTTGTATTTTCTGTTTAAAAGACGTCAGAATTAGTAATTGATACTGCAGATTTGTAGGTCTCCATGTTCCCAGGTAGTAAGATGTCTGAATAAGTGAAGCACTTTCCCCGAACCAGGATTGCGTTTTGTCATGACATATTGCAGTACAGCAGCACAAGCTCTTTGAAATGTTCTGTATATGGCGTGAGCCTTCAGCAGATAGTTGGTTGGTTTGTTGTTTAACGCCGCACTCAGCAATATTCCAGCTATATGACGATGGTCTGTAAATATTCGAGTCTGGACCAGACAATCCAGTGATTAATATCATGACCATCGATCCATGCAATTGGAATCCATGACATCCATCAGCCAAGTCAGCAAGTCTGACAACCCGATCCCGTTAGTCGCCTCTTACGACAAGCATAGTCGCCTTTTACGGCAAGAATGGGTTGCTGAAGACCTATTCTACCCCGGAATCTTCACGGGTCTTCAGCAGATGGAGAGATAGTTTGTATGTGATATTGGCTTCAAAGAGCAAATGTCTAGTTATACAACTTCTGTTTAATAACTTGTTTGGGAAAGGTTCAGTCACAGATATGTGGTTCATTTAATCACCCAGATAAATATATGGTTCATTTAATCACCCAGATACATGGATCAGTTGATTACCCAGATATGTGGTTCAGTTGATCACCCAGATATGTCGATCAGTTGATCACCCAGATTTTTGGTTTAGTTGATCACCCAGATATGTGGTTCAATTGATCACCCAGACATGTGGTTCAATTGATCACCCAGATATGTGGTTCAATTGATCACCGAGATACATGGTTCAATTGATCAACCAGATATGTGGTTTAATTGATTACCCAGATACATGGTTCATTTAATCACCCAGATACATGGATCAGTTGATCACCCAGATATGTGGTTCAGTTGATCACCCAGATATGTGGATCAGTTGATCACCCAGATTTTTGGTTTAGTTGATCACCAAGATACATGGATCAGTTGATCACCCAGATATGTGGTTCAATTATTCACCCAGACATGTGGTTCAATTGATCACCCAGATATGTGGTTCAATTGATCACCGAGATACATGGTTCAGTTGATCACCCAGATACATGGATCACTTGATAACCCAGATACATGGTTCAGTTGATCACCCAGATATGTGGTTCAGTTGATCACCCAGATATGTGGTCAGTTGATCGCCCAGATATGTGGTTCAAATGATCACCCAGATATGTGGTTCAATTGATTACCCAGATATGTGGTTCAATTGATCAACCAGATATGTGGTTTAATTGATTACCCAGATACATGGTTCATTTAATCACCCAGATTCATGGATCAGTTGATCACCCAGATATGTGGTTCAGTTGATCACCCAGATATGTGGATCAGTTGATCACCCAGATTTTTGGTTTAGTTGATCACCAAGATACATGGATCAGTTGATCACCCAGATATGTGGTTCAATTTATCACCCAGATATGTGGTTCAATTATTCACCCAGACATGTGGTTCAATTGATCACCCAGATATGTGGTTCAATTGATCATCGAGATACATGGTTCAGTTGATTACCCAGATACATGGATCACTTGATAACCCAGATACATGGTTCAGTTGATCACCCAGATATGTGGTTCAGTTGATCACCCAGATATGTGGTTCAGTTGATCGCCCAGATATGTGGTTCAAATGATCACCCAGATATGTGGTTCAATTGATCAACCAGATATGTGGTTTAATTGATCACCCAGATCTGTGGTTCAGTTGATCACCCAGATATATGGTTCAATTGATCACCCAGATATGTGGTTCAATTGATCACCCAGATATGTGGTTCAATTGATCACTCAGATATGTGGTTCAGTTGATCACCCAGATATGTGGTTCAGTTGATCATTCAGATATTTGGTTCAATTGATCACCCAGATATATGGTTCAATTGATCACCCAAAATTTTGGTTTAGTTGATCACCCAGATATATGGTTCAATTGATCACCCAGATTTTTGGTTTAGTTTGTCATCCAGATTTTTGGTTAAGTTGATCATCCAGATTTATGGTTCAATTGATCACCCAGATATATGATGCAATTGATCACCCAGATATATGGTTCAGTTGATCAACCAGATATATGGACTCCTTTATATGATTCAGCCATTAAGATGCGGTTCTGTCACCTAGATTCAGTTAAGTCATGCAAATAGATCCCAGATATGGTCTAGCTTTACTTTAGTTGCCACAGCAGAAATAATCAAAGAAACAGATCAACTTGTTGCTAAAATCAGATTAAGCTTGAAAGAAATCTGCTGTTATGGATTCAGATCAATCCATTTCAGCAACTTTCAGTTGAGTGAAGCAGCTGGAATCAGTTCTTTCAGAAAAACTTCTCAGTAGTCTTTCTGGAGATCCACTGATTGAATCATGGACAATCACATTGGAAATTGAAGGTCAAAGATCAAAGATTATTTTTTAACATATTGTCATCTTGACTTCAATTGATATGACCAAATTTCAGAATATCTCACCTTAACTTATGTGAGCACCAACTGTAAAAAGGCAAATAAAATAATTTGGAAATGCCAGTTGTCTGCTAACTGTCCATTCAGCAAAATAGATGTGACAAAATCTGTGTCTACACCTGCATATTATAATCTATATATGAAACTGTATAGTCTGTTGCCAATGAGTCTGAAGTGGCCACGGGTGGTCCAGTCGTCTAAGGCGCCACATTTTGCTGTGCAGAGTTGTGTCCCTTGGGCACTCCAGGTACCTGTAATTGTGGGTTCGAATTCCTGTTCGCCCTGATAATGTTTCTGGGTTTGTCAGCACAACACTGGTGCTCGTGGGTTTCACCAAAGCGGTAAATGTCTGAGACCTGGATCACTTTGGGGCTTTCCTACCAAATTAAGGTGACATGCTGTGATATAAATGGAGTACTGTTCAAAGCGGCATTAAACCCAACACACTCACAAGTCTGACAGATGGTCTCTGTTGTAGTGCATTTAACTTATTTTTTCCTTTTGTAGGGTAAAAAATATTGCTGTATTGAGCTTGGGTAGATTTGTGTGTGTAGCATGAGATAGAAGTCACTTTAGTTGTTAACAACTCTTCAACAAGTTAAGACTATTGCCGGAACATTGCTTGTTTAGATCATACAAAAACACATGTCACTGAAGCTGGAATATTGCTGAGTGCGGCGTTAAACAACAAAACAACCAACCAACATGTCATTGAAAATATATCTAAATCTTGGCAACAACCTGAAAGAGATATTGTGTGGAATCAAAATGATTGTCACATCTGTCCAACCAGTTGTGGATTAACACTTTGATACAGAGATTGAAAGTACAAAAGATGCTTCGGTACTGATAGGTTGTAAGTGTGAAGTATGAGTTAGAATTGCAGCCTTCCTTCATTTGCTGTGCTGCTCATGTCTGACAAGTGTTTGCAGTGAACTAACAAGTGTCCTTGCATTGGCAGCAGTGTAAACACTGAGACTAGTGTAGAATGTCACTTGGTAGAGTATCTATGCATGGTACAAGCAGGACAAGCATGTTGTGATGTAAGCCAGGCTCAGGTACATCAGGGACACAGTGTATACATGGGGCACAAACATGGGGGGTCACAGACAGGCTGGGTGGTGGTGGGAAGACTGGTTCCTCTGGTGCCATTCCTGTGGATATTCGGGGTTACAATTGGTCCCTAGCAACCTATGCTTGATGGAAGAGGCCATAATGTTAGAGTGAGTGAGTCAGTCAGTGAGTGAGTGAGTGATGCACACCACAATCGTTAGAGACGACTTCATGGTTGAGGGTCCTGTTCCACAAAGTGATGTAACCTCTAAGTCAACCGTCACTCCCATACATTAACACAGACCTATGACAATTGTAGCTTTAAGATCACTTTGTGGCTTAGGACCCAGATGGTCAGACTGGCTTGGTTGCTTCATATCTCATGACAGTGTGGATTGTTGCTCAGGATATCAGTCACTGGATTGTCTGGTCCAGGCTTGATTATATACAAGAAAACATTGTAACATGTTTGTCGTGGTTAGTAGGATTTGTCTGTTAGCATGAGTGTGTGAATGTTGTTTAAGGACACAACTGAATTAACTGTCACACGCGGCTGTATCTCGCAGGAAGGAGTTGCTGCACCGGGCATACTTGTGTAATCTACATCCCCTCCCTGTGACCGGAAGTAGCCCCACGGCTATAAATATCAGAAACTTGATGAGGTTGACATGTTTATGAAAAAAGGTCAACAACTTAAATTTTTCGAAAGTGGCAAATATTTAAGGCCTGCATGGCTTTTCTTTCTCAGTTAACTGACAGTGATTTAACTGAAATACTTTTCAAAGCAGCACTGAACCCAAGTCACTCACTCACTTGAGGATGTTACCATTCATTGATGTATTGCTACAGCTAATGTTGCAGGA